GAAACTGGGACCGTACCAAGATGAGTTCAGTGCTGATGGACGGTTCCTTAAAGGCACAGTTCACGATAAAAATGGTGTCTGAGTTCTCCCTTCAAGAGTACCCAGTGGCCCCAAGGGTAACAGGAAGGAACCTGTCGGGTTAAACAACTGAACGGCCAGGGCATAGTGGGAGCCTCGTTAACGGATCGCATGAACGCCCCGCCCCTCGATCGATGTCGCGTCGGACGAGTGTCGAGGCGATACAGATTGCAATATATGTTCTAGGACCCACACACACTCAGCTGATCGCCGAGTAAAGAGATGGTGTTTTTTCCTATTCTTTTTTTTCACTGGTATTCTTTTTGCTGCTGCGATCCATCACTTAATTTTCTATCCAAAGAAGCTGAAGAAGGTGGGCTATTTTTACTGTGAATAGCGTTTTTGTTAACCTACACTTATAAGTGAATGAATTTTTAACATTTTTGCTTACTACTCGCAACAGGACCCACACGTAAGCAATGAAACACATTGTATAGCTCGTCCAAGCCCCATTCTTCTTCATTTTCCTGGGCTTCTTCTCTTCAGGGCCCCTTCTTAACGTTTCTCGAAGCCTTTTATAATTTGGAAACGCCGATTCGCGCACTTCTTTGACCTTCTTCGCACTATTTTCCACCTTATCTTCCATTTTCCGTCATAATCTGCATTACTCAAAATTATCGTGAAGTCTGCCTTCAAGTATCTTATCTGAGCTGACGAATAACCTAACTCTGTACTTCAGCAACATTTTTGACCTGGTAGTTTACGGACTGTTACTAGGGCATATTCATTACAACATTACTTCTGGTGGAGACAGTTCACCAGGCTTCCTAGCGAAAACTGACACTTGTTAGGAAATTTTTATGCACGCAGAAAACACACAGTCTCTTGGTCTTTAGTCTTTTGGTTGGGACAGAGGGAACCGTTATGCTTAGAGCGCTCGACAATCGGTAGCTAAGAGAGTCATATGAAGTCCGTCGAAGCTCATTATCATCGTGGACATTCATTTTAAGATAGTGGCTTTTCCGTGTTTAGTACTTTTTCGATTCTCGTACAATGTGTGTACGTACGTACCTAGACAGAGCATGATCGTAGTGACGGCAGCATTCGTTGTTTTTTCAGCTCTCCTGTTTGTGGGCGCCATGAAGTTCAGTCGGAGAATACTGAGAACCTAAGAAGGAATGTGAATCTTTCAATCTGTATGAGCCTATTTTCTTAGAAGTTTCTAGTGCAATTTTTTTAAACTTGCAACAAGGTTATCTACAAATTTTCTATAGCTCCAATGATTTACCAAGAAACTATAAGCCTACCTACAGTATTTACACATGTACTGTCACCAAAATACTAATAAAGTTTTCATTCCATCGTTATCTGCCAATATCGGCTGACCGATATTGTATCGGTGGAACCTTTTATACTTTGGATAGCCAGGCTAATATAAAGGGGTTTTCACACGAAGTCACTCACATTAAACAGGTTCTTAATGGCAGCTTCAAAATCATTCGACTTCGCAGTACATTCCATCAAATTTTCTTGATTTCCATTTTTTTGGGCTTGCTCTAAGCTAACCATGTCCTGGAAGATTAACATGCTAACATAAAGAGAGACATGAGCGAGACAGACAGACAAACTGACAGATAGAGTAGACAGACTGACAGGCAGACATACAGACGAATAGATTGAATGGCTGAATAGATGCGCGAGTCCTTCCCATTGTTCTGGTCCATCCACATAAAATTATAAAAGTCCTACACTGAAGGTTGTCTCCAATTTGAAACTGAATCATCTCTAACTGTCTGGTGGGGAGGCAATGTGGCGCGACTACACGTATGTGAATGGATATCAGAACCTTCACAGGCTGCAGAAAGTAAAAGGAAGGACCAAGTTGGCGATCAGTACTTCCAATGTGCGAAAGACTAAACAACATCATCGGATCGAAAAAAACTGTTCTCTGGATCCGTTCGAAAGCATTAAAGTCTGAGGATTGCGAATGAGAAGATATGACGCAAGCCTCGAAACTACTTGATGATATCAGTGTCTGATGACGAACTAAAGAACACCTCAAAAATGAATTTCGAGGAAAAAAATCAGGTGAATCACAGCAGGGCAGGTGAAAAAGTCCCAGTGTACGAGAGCAACAGGCTCGAATCCCATTCCATTATATCATAGTTCATCCATCATTTGTTGTAAAGGCGCAAACACATTGATCTTGAAGACCAACAGAATATGGTCCTAAGATCAGCCATTCTTTTCCATTTATAGTCCATTTATAGAAAAGCTACATTTTGAACATCATCGAAGATTTGAATTCTTCGGAAATCAAGCCAAAGGTGTAAGTATGTGCTCCTCTTCACTGCAGTTCGTAACGACTCATACGAAAGCCTTTTCAGAAAAAATGAAATGTTGAAGCCCAAAGAGCTTGGGAGCCAAAGAGTAAATAAGACAAGGAGTGGTGAAGGTTTCGTCTTGTCGAAGTAGACGAATTATTGAAGCATTGAGGAGGGAAGCTCGAACTGAGAGTGATTACTTTGCTGTTAGGGGTCAGTAAAGAAGGCTAGCTTTCAGAAAAGCAAGTTTTAGAGCGAGTCGCTTCGTTTATCCGACAATTGCTTCTGATGGGCGGAGGTGGTATAGTGGCAAGTGGTTCACTATCTCACACGCAGGGTCTGGGGTTCGAATCTCAGATCGATATCCGCCTAGGCCAACCGAACCTTCCATCTCTGCGGGGTCGGTTAATTGGTACTAGACTCGTCTGGGAGGATAAAAGCACTGATCATTACATCGGCTGGCCACTGCATGTCACTCTATAGGACACATACACTTTAATTGCTCCGCTACGATTCCGAGTGAAGTCGAGTGCAGAGGCGCATCCCTCAGAGGGGGGAGATAATTTCGAAACTCGACAGCTACGATATTAGCCCGGCCTTTCGAGAGATCCTTAAAGAGACCACATTAACTGGTAAGAAAAAAATACTTCACTTTTGTGAAAAAGAGATGATATTCGCCTAAAAACTAGGTAAAGAGAATTAAGTCAAATTCACATTTGACATCGAGGACATGACGGCAATTTGTTCTGAAAGAATGGGTATGTAGTACGAGAAAACCTAATTTTCTTGTGCGGGCCGAGGATCGGCAGCGGGAGCCGGCCTCCGAATAATCCGTGAATTAGACGGGAGTAGTTGATCAACTCATGCAGCCTTCATTAATTCATGAGTCATTTGACCCGTCAAATTACTGGCCCTCATCAGACGCGAAACTCAAGCAAGTCTTCTTCTTTTGGAGATACTTATGCAGCTTACTATAGAGGCGTGCCCTTCTTAGCAAAGGCAAGTTGCTGTAAGCAGGGATGCAATGTGTTTGAGAAATAGTTACAGATTATTTCCACCTTGAACGCAGGCAGCTTATTGTATCACGCAGAGGTAAATACCCATTCCAAATAACTTTTATCGTCACATTCTCGTCCAACTCCTAACTTAGTTACTTTTAGAGCCCGATATTATGTATTAAATTGTCTTATATCTGATTACGACGATTCCCGCATTCTCTTCTCATTTTTTGCATTATTCTTGTCTATTCTTACCCCTAATTCATGTACTGGTTCTAAAGCTGCATCAAAAAACAGAATTAACACAGTCAATGTTACTACACCTAAAATAACAGAAAACAATAAGTGTGAAAAATGTTGTTAATAATGAATATAGTAAATTTGTATATTCTGTGCACAATGCAACCTAAAAATAGCTAAATCTACCCTTCTCCCAGGGTGACCTAAAGTCCTTATAAGTTTTCCTCGTTTAAATAATTTAAGATTTTGATTATACTTCCATTATTCGTCTAGAACTAGGTAGCACCAAATCGTGTGTGTCCCGAACTGAGTCATTCAGTGTCCCCTGAAAAGCTAGGTTTCGGGGCCCGAGGGAACTCTGAGCTTATGTACGCCTACAGTGCAAAGATGATGGTTTCTTCCGATATGTATATCAAATCTGATCGTCCGGCTTCCGCCTGGCTCTACTCTTCCTGTTACTCCTTTTTACAAAGTCGGGATGCACAATGATCATTAATTCCCCCATTCTGAATATGTGATTCATTTCTAACCACGATACTTTCAAAGGGGAATTTCCCAATACACGCGGGCACTCTAAATTCGGCAAGGGGCGCATACACATACCCTTATCGCTGACATTTTGGGAAAAAAACTATTCTTATGTGAAATAAAGGAAAAACGTCTGCATCGAACAAGGAAGCTGCGCTTCGTCTCAATCCATTGTAATGCTGGAGACCTTTCGTAAAATAAAAGTGTTCGGCGCTCCGCTGGGAGAACGTTATATAATCGCTTCGCCTATTGTAGCAACGACACGATCGGCATCAAGTTAAGATTTTAAAGCGCAGGTGATAAAAGCTTTTGAATCCAGTCCCCTCAATTGTTCACAGCTCCTCCATGGAAGCTTGAGGCTTTTATTTCAGCTCCGCGCAGAGCCTTGAACAACGAGAAAGTCGACAAATCTGAGAAATCATCGAAGAATGAAGGCTTGGTTCGAATATTAGCAAGGCCCCGGAAAATCCATCCTGCTCAGATGTTTCGAGCGGTTTCAGATTTATAAGTAAGAGAGGGCAGTTTATGATTACACATACAAAACTCTCGTTTCAGTTGTAGTACAAGTCTAAGCAGTGGAAAAGTGAAGGATCGTCACTTCACTTCTGGTAGTTTCATATAACCTAAATTTGTACTTACAGACTCTTTCATTGCGCCCATTTGAATGGTGTCTTGAATTCTCTTCGGACTAAATTGTTCAATATTTCACTTTCAGGAAATATTTCATCAACTTACTGGCTGTACACCCACCCACAACGTTTGAAACTACAACTCTTATTCACATCAATGGCTCATCAGTAATTTCTTCAAAACAAATCCATCTTTTATTATTCCAAGCAAAAAAACGTTGGTTAATGAAATTGAACGTTTATTATCCGTAATGACCAGTCATCTACTCGTAGCGGTCCACTCCGTCACGCCACATCACGTAATAGGTGAATATCCCATCGCAGTCAGATATCTCGTCGGTGCGCGAGTCGCAGAACGTGTCAGCCTCAGTGCAGTCGATGAACCGCCCCCAGTACGACGTCATGTCAGGAAGCGTCCAGAATTTCTCATCGGTGTCGCACTTGGGGTTTAGTACCAGTTTGTAAAGACTGAAATACAACATTACAATCATTCATATAGTAATGTCACTTTTAGAGAACACAGTGAGTAGGAAATTTTTGGAATGCGACTAATCGAATCTCGGGTTTGACTTTATTATACCCCATCAAAACTTGAATACCGCAGTTTTTTTTTTCAAAATTAGTCAAAAGGGAAGACCTTGCAATACATATTCGAAACCATGATACTGTTGAAAATGGCTAAGCGAATTTCAAAAATTCCTCAGTCTTAGAACTGGAACATAAAGATAAAGTGTTTAGGGATCAATGCCGTCTAAGGGAAGCGCCCTAGCATTCGAATCCTACTCAGAATCGTGCGACACAGTGACTTGTAGCGGCCAGCCTATTTACAGTCATCCCAGACGAATCTGGTAGCAAATGGCCGGCCGCGAAGGGTAGGATTGGTTGGTGGGGGTAGACATCTATCCGACTCCCGGGGAATGAGTCTGTGGTAGTGCGCCACTTCCCACTATAC